CCCGATCGATTTTGCCTCGTATAACCACGAAAAACTTCATTTTTTCCTTTTTTTATCTTCAAAATGCTCCTTGCGCCGCAGTTTGTATACAATTTTACCTTTTTTTAAATGTTCGTTACACTGCAAAGAATAATGTTGAGCATCCGTTTTCCTTATTTAGTCGCGATAGATCATGAGTAAATGAATTTTGAATTTCATAAATTTTTCGTGTCACCAGCGTAGGACTAAAAATTCATTGTTTTTAGTAGTTGAACATTGGAATCACACGTAATCTAATTTTTATGAACAAAAAAATGACAGGTTGAAGCAAAAAATCCGGAAATGCGAAACATTTATGAAATTCCGAATAAAACTTGGTAACAATTGTTTTTTTTTTTTCATTTTTTTCGATTAAACCAATGTATACACGATAATTCTGTAAAAAATTGAGATAGGAAGTTGAAATTCGGTACCATTTTGTCTTGGGACTTTTAGTGAATATTAAAAAGGGGTAAATTTGAACTATTTGATACATTATTGGGCTAACAGATTTCACTATTTACAGCAATTACGAAAGCTCACAGCCGAAAATGAACGATTGAAAGTCCAAAAGTGGATACCTGCGCGTCGTATCCAAACTCACCAATTCTACTAAGTGAAGGATCTATAATAAAACGGAGATGGCCAAAATATGTCTCACGTTTATTTTTTCAGAATTTTTTCAAGTTTTCTATCTTCTATTCTCTATAATAAGAAGGAAACCAATAAGAATATTTCTTAATGTTCGCTGAAATTGTTCGATATTCTGTTCGAAATGTTGCGCAAAAATTGGTATCAATTATTCAATGTCCATCCTCCTGATTAATGTTTATATGAACAGTTTTAGAATTAAGAATTGTATTATATTGGCCATGAGACCGATGAATCGTTTCATGCATCTATGGTGCTCATATACGTGAGGAGGGCGCATTCGATCTCGTATAATGAAAAGGAAAATAAAAAACAAAACAGAAACCAACAGCATGTGCATTTAAAAAAACAATCAGTATAGTACATTTCGCCATTAGGCCGAAAAAACACTTTTCTGGCCAATATGAGTTTGCAGTCATATAAACTAGAAACGTTTTTTTCGTCCGTGTGGCGAATAATCTTTTTTGTCATAATGTCCATGAAACGCTGCCTTACGGCTGCAATTACAAAAAAAAATTGCGTTATTATACGTTTTTGTTCATTAATTCATTGGCCCCTACCTCTTTCTATTTCTCATTTTTTTTCAAGGAAATCCTAGTAAGTCATTCATAAACATTATCTTGAATGTGTCTAGATCATGAATAAAATTTTAATTGCTGAAATGGAACATAAAAAATCAATTTTTCAGTTTATTGGATATCTATTTATCTTGCTAATGAGTAATTCTAGGGGGAAATATCAAGAAGAATTTTTTTCTTTGTAGAGATATACTTTAAAATATCTCTTGACATTCAATTCCCAGATTAATCAACAATTCATAAAAATGTATAGATTTGAATGATTAAAATTAAAAATTGTTGTCTTTTCTCAATGTTGAAGTATTTTTATTTTATTTTACGACCTTTTAGTTTCTTATATATCCATATCAATGAATATCAGCTACCAATACGGCGGTGGATTCTACACTGTAACGCATTCGCACTCCAATACAACATCCACTGTCAGTAAAACCGCGTTCTACAGAATATGACTGTGATTAGATAGCATTTAGCAACCCTATTTCATATTAATTTTGAGAAACCTCGCTTCGCTCGGTTAAATCGCGGTTTTCGGGCCCAGTGACATAAAATATTGTATGTCACACGGCGATAAAAGTATTATCTGGCGAATGTGGCTTTATAATCCGAGCTGAAGGCTTTCTTCGCTTGATGACATTATCTACTATAATGGAGTTTTCGTTTTCAATCGAATTGCATTGAGTTGATCAGAGAAAATCGTCATGATTTTCTCATTTTTCCGAACTCCTCGGCCTCATAGAGCAAAATGAGCCAGACTTCGGGAGCAACTCGTTTTTCGAACGGTAATCGACAGAGGTATAGTTCTCGCCAAGAAAGAATGATGATGGCCTTGAGTGGTGGGGGAAATTGAGTCGAAGCTAAATTTGAAAGAGTGGGGGTAGCCAGCCAGCATGATTCTTTGGTGGCGAGGATTATAGCATCAATAGCTCGTGCATTTCCCCTATATTATCGACCAGTCGGCAATGTAGAAAAAATACTGAAATTATCGATGACCCATTTAACCTCATGTGTAAGCAGCAACTTCAAAAATCATTTTATTGTTGCGCTGCTTCTCAAAGGGGTTTCTCAGATTTTGCAAACGGTGTCTAAATGGATTCAATAATGTGTGAAAAAATCTTCATAAAATTGGCTGCATTTTTTGAATATCCTACTCCTCGGCCGATTATACTTAAGGGGTAACAGAATGGCACTAATTTTCCAAATGTTTGAACAAATTTCCTGTCGAAAGTTATTGATATTTTAAAAAATCGAAGCACATTAATCTCCAAGAGACGATTGTGAAGATCAATATGGTGTGGGTTTGAAAAATATTATCAACTTTGATCAGGAAATTTGTTTGAAAATTTCCAGGAAACATTGGCCTTCTGTTACCCCTGAAATGTAGGTAATACTGTAAAAAATGGATTCAAATAGGATCCCATCATTATGAATATCCTATATAAAAAGGGGATGTCACACGTTTATTCCTAAATATCTGAAAGAGAAATTGCATACATGATGATGATGATACTGATTTTTATAATATTGATCTTACTGATCGTGCTGATGATGTTGGTGTTGGTGATCGCCAATGAAGTATGTATTGATTCTCAATTGAAGTTTTCTTGAATTTCGACAAATTTTTCAAGGACTCTTAATAGAAGTTTCGATAGATTTCTATGGAAAATCCTTCGCTTTCTAATGCAACTTTTTATAGCTTTTAACATATCTCCCATTGATTCTCGATGGACATTTCCATTTCTTTGTAATAAAAAGATCGTGGATTTTCAATAGAAGTTTTCATCGGTTTCCACGGATTTCTCCTTAGTAATACCATAGAAATTTGTATACGTGGAAGAACGTATTAATTCCAATCAACTTAAATAATAACGTGATGGATTATATAAAATCTATCAAATTGTAAGGCGCAGCTTCGATCTCGTACTAAGAAAAAACGACACTTCTTATTTCCTTCGTAAACGATAACGTTTATTCTTTTTTTAGGAATTCGCATTAAAGACATTTTTCAATTTATTGACTGGAAATTAAAATCTCTTATGATTACGTAAATAACAAAGAAGAAACACTCATCAATCAAAATTTTCTGTTTTTTCATCATTCAATTCAGTTTGCCCGCCATTCTGCAAAGATAAAAAAACAATGTAATATTTATTTATACATTTCTAAAGAATGCTCGATTGAATTACAAAACAAAATCTATTTTTAATTCTTTGCTCCTATACATTTGAAAGAACGTAGAATATTGGTAAATTGAAAAAAAAATTACAATAATGTTCTTAACTATTCGTTGACTGATTGCTCTTCTCCCTTTTCTCCTCTTGTTTTGTAAATATATGCGGATAAATAACTTTTATGTATATGGATATAAACTGCAATAAGTTATTGCCCTTTCATCATGTCATTTATAAGATTTATGATTCTTATTTCAAGTCTTTATGTAATTCCATTCGCAGTCTTGCAAGTTTTGAATATATAATGTTGTATTTGAAAAAACATCGCAATTCCATTAATATAGTAATCAATACCCTTCGCAAAATAGTGACAAAAACGTCTAAAAATTTCAAAACAATTTTCTCTTCATCTGTTTCTTTATAAAAATCATTAACACCCGAAAATATGTTAAAATTCACAACAAAATTATTGTCTCCCAGTGCAGACACAACCCATATAAAGACTCATAGTAACACATATCGAAAATTAAATAAATTTATTGAATAAATTTATCAAATAATAAATCAAAACATTCTAATTGCCCATACTACAATTTTTCGTCTAGTTCGATTATAGTCGAATTTCTAAATATATACAAGACTATGAATTCAATAGTTTCACAGCTGACCCTGCGATGCGTCACCCGGGATGGAGTTTACTAGACTAACATACAAAATTATCAAATTGTATAAAAAATTTCCTAGCAACAAATTTTATTAACATGTCTCTTTTTCCATCTCTTTCCGTAATCATTGGATTCTCTTGATTGAAGGCCGCATTTTTTTGATTTATTTCATTTAGAATTTTCTTGTAAACTTGAAGACTTTGTTCATAAAATGGTGAAATAAAAGCAAATGAGTTTTCACAAATATCGTTGAAGTTGCGGGTGATGGATTAAATTTTAAAAGTACCCTTTTTGTACCTCTAAATGGACGCTACAAAAATGGTGGCTTGGAAAATTTTGCTATTCCCTTCAACTTTCTTTCATTTTTGAGATAGTAAGATTAACTCATTTTTGTCTACCCCATGACTACCTAATTAGCCACTTTCTTCATTTTTCTTATACACTGTATCGAGGAGGTACAAAGGCCTAGTGGTGGGATTTATACCTCTGTTTTTGCCATGGATTAGTCCTTTAGCGGTCATCCTGGCGATTTTCAAGAAATTGGCTCATTGGGGATAATTTACTTTTTCAATGTCATTTTGCCTAATCATAATTTCGCATTTGACGAAATGACGATCGGATAAATGTTTTTTTTCTTTTCATTTTCTCCAATATCACTTGGAATCATATTGGATATTCAACAACAATGAAGATGATCCATAACATTAATAGCGTTTTTCTTGCACCACTTCCTGCGTCAGAATAGTATATTTCAAGACGAGTGCCATGGGGTTTTTTACTCGCGTCGAGTTGGCGTCCGAGCCGAAGGCGAGGACTGGCCAACCACGCGAGTAAAAATAACCCCATGGCACTAGTCGTGAACGATATTTTTCCGTAGTGATTTTCTCTTTTACGAGTTTGGGAAATGGTCCATACCAATTCCCGGACGAGGAAAAGTGAAGAGCAGGACGGACAAATTTTTTGTAGTGTTTCTCAATTTTTTATTCACTCGGTAAAGTAAGAGACAACGGACAATGGCATTGTCATTTGTTTTATCGAGGGGACAAAAAATCAAGAAATACTACACTAGCATATTTCGTCATTCGGCCGAAATAGTTATTTTCGTAACAAGGCCGAAAAAAACTTTTTTGACGAGAGTGAGGGCTGCAGACCGAGGCGAATTCGAGGAATGCAATCACATGAGTCGGAAAAGTTGTTTTCATCCGAGTGACGAACATGATTTTTCTTCACAATGTCCATAAACAGCGTTTGACGAACACGAAGTGTCATTCGGACAGTGTAATGAACATAGCTATTTCGGTTGCTAAAAAACGCCACGGGCTTACTGATGCAGTAAGTGGTGCAAGAAAAACGCTATAAATTCCAAAATTCGCGCATTAGTTGATAAATGAACACAAAATACGGAAATACTTTTCGACGGATGATAGGCTACGTTATGCGCACACTAGCTGACCTCATGATTGATAAGTGCAAACATACGCAAGCTATTACATTAATAATTCTCTTTTCGATTAAAATTAACGGGAATGTGACTCTGCTGCGTGGCACTCCTTATTACTTCCATCCATCTATTTCAAGGAAGGGAATAATATCAATTCAAGATATTAATTAAAAGTTTAAAAATAACACGCAAGAAAAAATTCTATAGAAAAAACTACTGTATCTGTTAGAAAATTCTCGAGGATTTCTGTTGAACTCCTATTGAAAATTCTGTTAGTTTTTCCTAGATTCCATTGGTGAATTTCGCCGCTTCTCATCACTTTTTTTTTGCTGGAAAATACTTAATGGAGAATATTTTTTTATGCAACTTGTTTAATTGAGATATTTTTCGTAGAAGTTCCTGGCCAAGAATTTTCTGATTTTGTCAACCATTTTTTGTCCTCTCATTAAACAAATCAACCAAAAGAACTTAGAGAGTTTAAAATAGGTTGTTTTTTTTTTATATTCCGGCCCTTTCTGCCCTCTGATTGGCTAATCGGCCCTATCCAACCCTATGCATGCGGCTGTGGATTTTACACTGCACCGCATTCGCACTCCTATAGAACATAGGAGTAGCATGGGAAACCACAGAAAACCCATGCCGGTACAGGCGGTCACTATATTAGCGACCTCCCGCTCGCCGGAGCCTCCAGTTGAAAAACTCGGTTCCACGGGGAATCGAACTCACAAACCTTTCGCACACTAGGCTCGCACTTAGCCGTTTCGGCCACCGACGTCGGTTAATAGGTTGTATAGAAAAATGTAATTCTGTTGGATATTTCTATTGAAAAAAATACAGAAAAGCTGTGACTTTTTCAATATTGAATCGATGAAAAACTAAATAGAAAATGATAGATTTTTCAACAGAAGTTCAATATAATTTTCACGAATGCACTAGGATTTATATAAACATTTTCGTGCATGAATAATCAACTTTCATCTATATTTACCTGCCAAATGTAAAGTCACTCTCGGCCCTGAAGAAATAGACATGATTCTTGAATTGTAATTTGAAAACGAAATCCTTGTTGATTCCGTCTTTCTCAGTCGGCGTTGATACAGCATAACCAAGTAATGGTAGACTGGCGAGTGGAAAATCATCCTGATGTGATTTGTAGAAAAACAGGCAGAAATTTGTAAACACAACCCACAGTTTTTGCCAGCCATTGCTGTTTTTGAATTTACGGAGTAGAAAACCACTCAGCTGATTCTGCAATTGACATTTTCGTTGAGGGAAATATTGTCTTATGAAATTATTGTCGTAGCGAATTTGAAATACGAGATAACTGCTTACTTGGAAAGCTCGCAGTTGATCACTGTAGCTAATGCTTGTATTCCTGTGCCAACATACGTGGACAGTTGTATTACTCCTCTGGGAATCCTTTGCACCACCACAACTGGTACGGTCCAAGTCGATAGCACCACCAAGTTCATCGACAGAACCTAAAACTGTTGAGAAATTTTTTTCCAATATTGACTGAAACTAAACTGAGAGAAAAACGACAAAGTTCTCCAACAAGTCTTAATTGTACCAAGAAAATTGTTTTTTGAAAATTATCAAAAAATGATTTTTTTTGTGCCAAACATGCAGAGAGTGCGCCGGAATGAAAATTTTTTGTCGCAAAAATAGATATAGTAGTTTTAAAAAAATTTCATCCTTTGTACACGCAAGAAATGTCATTTCTAGTACTACTCCTTCGTTATTCAATACTCCGATCCGTATTTTGCTACCGAAAAATATTTGTTTTATGCGAAACATGGGATAGTAGTTTTTCATTTTGGCTGTCTAATAATCACAAACAAAAAATGAAGCCTTAAATGAAGCAATAATAATGATATGATAACAATCTTGTAACTTAGGGATAAAATATTTGTTGATAAATTTTCCTCTATATGAGATATTTTCATCCTGAAAAGGCACCACACGGTGTGAATTATTCGCCTATTCAGCCAAATACTTCGTTTTTGTCGAAAGCAGAACAATTATTCATGTTTGAGACTTTCAAATTCGAACCAAACAAATTATTTTTTGGCAATTTTCCACTAGCGATTTTGTTGGCCCAAACAAGATTTGTTTGAAAACGTGTTTGTTTTCCTCTGGGTGTAGTGTGTTTCACAGCTGCACTGAGAGAAAAACGATCAAGTTCTCAAACAAGTCTTGTTTGGGCCAACAAAATCTTTAGTTGAGAATTACCAAAAAAATAATTGTTTGGTTCGAATTTGAAAGTCTCAAAAACGAATCATTCCTCTGCTTTCAACAGCAACGAAATATTTGGCACAAGATACGGATCATTCATACAAGACGGTGCCTTTTCAGGATAAAAACATCTTCTCTAGAGGGAAGTTTACTAAGAAATATTTTGTCCTGAAGTTATAAGATTGCTGTCATATCAATATTATTATTTCATTTAAGAATTCATTCTTTACCTGTGATTACTGAATAGCCAAAACGACAAACTACTATCCCTCGTTATCCCTCAAAATACGTATGGGAGTATAGAATAACGGAGTAGTGTTAAAAATTACATTTATTATTTGAGCAGAGAATAATTTTTTTTTGAAGAGAATCAATCTATTCTCATTCGCTTTGCGAATTTGGCACAAAAAACCTTTTTTGATCATTTTTAATAAATGATTTTTTGGCATATTAAGACTTGTTTGAGAACTCGGCTGATTTTCTCTCAGTGTAGTCTTATAACTGTATCATTTTTTCATTATGACAATGATGACAATTCGAAAACACTTTTGAAGCACCTATAAAAGGCTCTCGTAAACTCTTAAATTAATCGATAAATTTTTAAAAATTTCTAGAGGGTTCCAAAATCTTCTGAGATACGCTAGAAAGATTTATTGAAGCTTGAGAAATTGAAGAGGTTAGTAGATGATTTCCGAATTTCCCACAAAATTATTTCCAGAAATTTTCTATAATTACAAAAAAACGGATACGGTAAATGATGTAAAGTATGATTGCTAGTATTACCGAATCTTTTAGCAGTTGCATCACGATATTTAATATCATTCTAATTCCATGACTGCTCAATACCTTTCTCTTACAACTTTGTTAGCATATTGTGATATTCCCCATCGGTATTTATTTAGTAAAGGTATTATGTTACAGATTAATCCCCTGAACGGATAATCCTACCAAACCGCGTCGGTGTGAGTGATGGGGGGGAACGAACAACCGTGCTTAGACGTTAAGTGTGGTAATGAGCAGGGATAGCCATATCCATAAATTATAATTACTGTTAAATTATTAAGAGGTCAATTCGATGATGTCTCTCTTAAATTTTAATTATTGAAGTAATCGTCAATTTAAATACTCAAATTTCGAATAATTCATTAATCAGTAATCGAAACCCCTTATAAGAAATTTAGTATTATCTACTTAATACAAAATTTATAGTTCTATATTTGTTAATATTTAATTCGTCATCAATTGGAAACGTAGATTATCAATTATTTTACTATTTTTAAATTTAGATTAGTATATTTAAACTTTAATCAATGTAAGCCGGAAAGTCTTTTAATATTGAAGATTGATGGCCATCCCTGGTAATGAGTGTTGCGTTCAGGGGGCCAACCGAAGGTATCCGAGTAATATCCAATTGCAAATCTTGTCGCAACAGATCACATTACAATTGAGCAATAATATTTTGAGAAAAAACAATTTTTTTTAATCCAATCAATGGGTTCTTAAACCGGATTTTGGATTTAAGAATTCGAATTTTCATCCCGTCAAGTTGGAGTTACGAATCGCGTTCTGAATCTCCACACATATTATCCAAGACATTTGATGTTTTCGTATTCCACATCCTTTTCATCCAGAATTTTTTCCACCCAAAATTCGCGAATCGAAAATAGAAATTATTGCGAAGCTCTCACGAGAGGCAGTAAATGAATACAGTTTAACGATTGAGAAAACTCACTGCATGATTTCACAGTCAAATACGGTGTCTTCCCCTCGTTCTCCATTTGAGCAATAGCCATACTGAGATCCTCCAACCATCGTTCCTTCTCCTCCTCGCTGCTAGCAGCCACTGTCAAAGATCTGTGATAAAACACCATTAATCATATGTAAAATGGCTAAAATAAAAGTTACATCAATCATCCTCAATTGGCCTTTAATAATCATGATTACTTGGGATAACTTACTGGTTCCCTTGACCATGGATCACGAACACAAAGTCCGTTCCCGTCTTGTTGTCACCATCCTGTATCGTTACTCCCTTAAGGGGAAGTTGGCCGTGGACACGGAAACATTGAGTGGGTTGTTGAGTTCGGAATGTATAGAGTAATATATCTGAGAACTAAAGAGAAAGAAACCAGAATCTATCAATAAGATATTCATCATTCTCATTAATTATAGCTAATTATATCGTCCTGAATCAGAGGATTATCTTACCAAGAAGAACATCCTTTGTTGAAATCCCTTGTGACTGTATTTCTGTAAACATCCTTGCCTGATGAACCTTCGTCCCTCTTGCACTAAATTATCAAAGCCACTGATATCTCTCTGCAATTCACAGAGTTGGACAAGATTCTCCTAAAGTTAAATAATTTAAAAAATTGGATTAGAAAGGCACGAAATACAATTCTTCCAACTCATTGCCATAGCAAAATGACGAAAGGATTCGAATCAAACATGGAAGCTTTCTTAATTACACAATTGGGCCCAAAAATAATTAATTTGAGCAAAACAATGTCGGAGAAACTTTTTGAAGATACCATGGAAAATATCATTTGATCATTTTGTTTAACCACTAATTTCATAGAAACTGAAAATGACTGAACAACATTAATTAAGTAATGAAATAATAAGATGTGACAGAACAGGTCAATATTTCAAGTCTCGTTGAATATAAAATTATTCCAACAATAAAGAATTTGAAGAAAAAATTATCGACTGGCCTTTTTTGGCTCCAAAGGAAGTATCTTCACGTTTTTTTCCTAAAAATACTTCCTTCCAATTAATTCCAATTCCAATTGATTTAGAATTACGTCTTGCCAATTCGCTAGATTTTTTTACGGTTGTACTTACCGCCTGATTCAATACAGTAAGACCTTCAAGAAGTGTTTCTCCAAGTCTATCCCTTGCTGCTAAACAGTCCTCGAAATCCGTGTGGTCCTTCGGATAATGGTCCAATAGTCCTTCAAACAAATTGAAATTGATTAATCACGTGATTTTTCCGAATTTATTAAAACAATGATGAGTGATGTCAATGCATAAACATGCTTACTATCAATAATACTGTTATAATGCAACAATCGTTGAAGTGGTTTCAGCAGGAATGATGTCAGTGGTAAATAGCAGTACTTCTGCGACTCGAAATCACGACACAATTGATCGAATCTACGTGATGTACGCATTGAATACTCCATCTTCTCGAGTACCGGTATTAAATTCTCCAAGTATTGATCGTAAAGTGGTAGAACGTTGAGAAGTGTATTGTAGAGAAAATCACCGATATTGTGACGTGCATTACTCTCCCAGCGTGCTAGACGTGCCTCCATCTCTTGGAGGCATGGTCCATGGGCATCAGCGAGTAATTCTATCAGCCCCACCGCTGGCTCACCCTCAAGATCTGATTCTCTCGATACTTCTTCACGAAACCACTAAAATTAATTACTTCATGACTTTTGGAAAACAGACGATTCAATTCAACATACTTTCATTAATAGAACGGTAAATTTCTTTGAGAATATTTTTGAATGAATAGGGTTTAGAAGAGTTCAGATAAAAAAAAAACTTTTTGTAGAGAACTTTATGGAATCTTTTCACATTTGAGTCTCAAACTACTGATGAGAATGTATTTGGTTAATAAACAGGAAAAATACTCGAAAAATTTGCTCTGATTATTTCACAATATGAAGAGAAACAAGTGGAGAATTGCATTTTTTTAATAAATGAGTATAGTTCTATTCTTCTATTTTTTCATGTCATAGTACTATCATTAATTGAAATGTCATCAAACTTTTTGCATATCATTTCGTTCTGTCCAATCATTCTACATTCAGATCCTCTCAAGAATTCAACATAATGAACTGATACCTGAGTTTAATAGAGATAGAGAGTTTTATGTAAAAAGCAATGCTACTGTTATACTGTTGATAAGCAATGCTACTGTTTTCGCCATGGCTAATTCCATTTTGATAAAAAAATTTTGAGTGATCCTGGGAAAATCGATTTTTAGAAAAATATCCGTTTTTTCGAATCTGTATGAAAAATTAAATTTTAACTCGTGTCAATGAATAGAAAAATTCATGAAATTCGTTTGAGTCCTTTTAAGAACATTTCGAAAAAAATAAAGACAAAAGTCCACATACATACATTTAGTTACCATCACACAAAAAATTGGAATTTTTAATTTGAGCGATTACAAAGCTTCCAGTCGGAAGCAAAAATCACAGGCAATAGTAGAAAGATGCTTTAAAATTAAAGGAAATTCGTCCATTTTCAGAAAGTTGAATTTTTTAATGTATTTTTCTAGATTAATGGGGGAACATATGAAATCAACATTTCTGGTGATTAAGAAAAATGAGTTGCAAGAGCTTTGATGAAAGCGATGGATAAGTTCTTTCATATTTCATCTACTGGAAGACTCCAATACTAAAACTAAAAATATGTAAATATGTCATTCAATGCCTAAATTCAGTGCATATTGCCTATTTTATTTGTGAATGATCAACTCGGATTGGTAGATTTTATTTTTTATCAACATGAAGAATATACTCTGTCTATGAGTTGAAAAAGAAATTAAAATTTGAGGGCTTGCGCATTAGGGTAAATATCCTTGTGATAAATGTTGATTGAAATTCACAAAGCTGGTGGTACTGTACGTACAATATTTATAACATCCAAATCCTTCTTATACGTTCTCTCCGTCATGAGAAGCTCTTTGGCAATGTAATAAGCTTTATCAGTTGGCCATCGCTGTAAAGAAAAAGTTATAGGAATTAAGAAATGATAAAAGTCCTCTCTCAGTCACGATAAAAAAGAACAAAAGTCAATATTACTTTGGTCTTTCTTATTTCCGAGTCCTCCACCTCTCCATTTTTCAGATGTTTTTCTGGACTCAAATCCGGTGTATTTATCACGTTGACATTGACGTTTATCTCCCCAATTCCATTTTGACCCTTCTCTGCTTTTCCGTTGACATAGAACGAATTGTTGTTCTCTGCTTTCGACGTATTTTCGTGATTCTTGTCGACTTCATCACCATCTGCAATAAAAATTGTGTTAAAATTTATGGGATTTAACCGACAATGTTTTTTATTGAAAATAAAAGTAAATGGGAATCATGGGATCAGCTAGGGATATGCATGCGACATTGCAGTGATTGTCTTTACGATTTTCAAAGAAAATATTTCACAAGGATTTGTCAGTTGTCGGTACACGGAAATTAAGCTCCATGCGTTTCTCTGAAAATTTGATAATCTGTGCTAAAAATTAAATGTAACAATGCAAAAATAATTTCTCACGTGCAAACGAAAGTATCGGCCGCAAATAATGATGGAAATAATAGAAAATGAAAAATTGTGATTCTTTCGCTGCTAAAAACTCGTGATACATCGATCAACAAAACAAATATAGAGGCTGAATCTGTTCATGAGGTAATTTTCATCAACTGGGAATTACTCACACTTGGCATTGTCCAGCCGACCAACAATTCCAGGAGTGCGATTCAAAAGAGATAGATAGGGGTCGAGTGAACCCTTGAGGATTCAACAGCCCCAAAACAATGAAAACAAACAACAGAAGAAACAAAAGGAAAATGTCGACAGTTTTATTTGTGAAAATTGTCGAAATGAAGAAAATTCGAACCAAATGTAAATCAACGAAAATGGTAAAAGAGAAGAACGTTTTGAAATTACTGACGCCTGTAAATGACTTTGTATATAATTTATTAATGTCATAATTATGTATCAATAATCAATGTACAATAAATTTCCTACGATTCCACTTTTTTTTCTGTTTCCCCTCATGTTCTCCTCATTTTTGTTAATCTCTTTTTAGTTTAAAATTAGAGTTCTCGTGGCCTCGTGCTGAACCCTTGACACAAGGATGAGAGTCCTCTCTGATATTTATATTATTTATATCGAGATAACGGGTAAATTCTTTAACAAGCATCGTTATTTGATCGTTGAAAAAATCGACGCGGTTATTATTACGAACGATAAGTTATTTCAGTTATCTTGACATCTTCGAAGAGTGGGAGACTCGTTTCATTTTTTATAATTTCATCATTCTGTAAACTCTTAATTGTTTCCTCAAATTATCAGTTAGTTACTCATGGGTTCAGCATTTTTTCTTCCTCGTAAAAATTTGGTTTCGAGATTTGTCTATAATTAATATCAATGTTTTCGATAGATTACAAATTTTTTATCTTCCTTCTTCATGACAAATTAAATTGTTTTCAGATAGTTAATTCATGAAGTCATAATTTTAGAATCATTAACCGGCGCTCCTGACTTCCACTAATTCCTTAACAAATAAAATTCGATATATTCAATGCTTCCCTCAATTTCTGTTATTTCTCATATGTTCCGATAATTTATTTTGATCGAGAGTACTCGGTATTATTTTCCCATTTTTTTTTATTAATGATGATAACAACAATAATGACGATAGTGATTATTAAATGTCAACGGTGCAACATGAATAATTCGGGGAATTCGAATTTTCTATCCTTCGAACAAACAGTATAAACTGCCACTGTTTTCTCTCCATAAACTCTTGAAAACAAATTTTTATATAAATATTGAAAAATTAAAAAAGTGGATGTCAATATAAAGTAGATCTTCGGAATATTGTAAACAATTTATCAATCAATTAACTAAGGAAAACATGCAGGGTGTGTAACAATACCTCAACAAATTGATTTTTCAGTGTTATAATTGAGGGTGTGGGGGAGGGCGGGGACGACTAGAAGACTCAGGTTTTACTGATGAATTCCAAGGGGTCACCACCAGGAATTAATTATATTACGCCCAGACATTCCTAGAGTACTTGCGGTTGCAACAGTCGACAGGTGATGATTACTCAAGATAACAGTAAAACAAAATATTTTAATTAATTAATCAAACTATTTAATTAAGGATGTTATGGATGGGTTGTTCAATCCGAAAAAAAGAAGATTAAAAAAATTGAAGATTATCCGAACCTTTATCATATAGAGTATTGTCATTTCTTTAATTGAAGTCATTTTAATAATGAAATGGAAATTTTATCCTTCAGCTACGAGTAGTACATTACGATACATGGAAAACAGTTGTTCAACTTCACTCTCCTGGGTTCAAAGATAATTTTGCCTTGAGGAACTTGAAACTGTGTAACATCAGGGAGATAAGGGATCTTCCAACGAATGTCATTACAATCCTTGGGAAAGGCTTCTCCTGTTAATAATACTATTTTCCATGTGACACTATATTTTATTGTAGTAGTGAAAAAAATCAAACTTCATGAAAAATCATCATGAAAAATCTTCAAACGTTTCCGCAAAGAATAACTTCCATCTGAGATAAATACCCAACATTAAAGTGTGGAATTTAACTCATGATATGTCACCACTTCACAATAGAAATTATGATTTCGAATGTTTGAAGTCTTCCTTCCCGAATTCAATTGCAATTTTGAAATTCAAAGTGAGTGATGTGATATTCAACGAGCAAATACACCTCGCCTGTATTTTCTTGGTGTATTCCCAGTATTTTGGTCTTCTATCCATAACATCCTTAATTTAACACTCGATCCTTCACCACTATCTATTTATATTCCCCCTCCGGTTGCCGTTAGAACCATTCCCTCATGCAACGGAGTATCATGACGAATAAACTCCGTTCTATAATTACGCTAAGGCTGAATTTTGTTTGAAAATATTAATTTTTTTACACAATTAAACGATCTGTGAGTTTGACACTCAGAATTTTCATTCATTCGATCGATTTTTCGACATTAAAAATATTGACACTGTCTCGAACGAGATAATGTCGACATATTCAGATTTAGAAAAATGGCAGTGGGGTAATCATGATTCAGGGTTCGCTACGTAATGGTTCATAGGTGAGTATAACAATCAATAATTCAATCAATTGATTTTGAGATGCGGGGAAGCTCAGTACCACACAACACAGAAGAGAAAAATATTCAAAAATGTGTCATATTTTTTTTTCTATGAATGAATAACAGCTAGATGTGTGGTCAATGGAGGTGAATTATGGATTCTATTCAACTAGATGATTCGATGATTCCAGAGAACATTAAAGAGTCATTATAACACGCACAAGTTGATCAGTAAAATGATCTTTAAAATGATACTATGCTACTTCAACTAGACAAGCATTAATGAAAAATACTCTTTCATGGTGATCGAAAGTTGAGACTATCAAATAAAATGGCACTGTTATCATTCGACATTTGGCCTCAATCCGAAAATCATGAGAATGATTTATTCAGAGGTAAAGAGTCTCGAATTCAACATATACAATATTTACATATTCCCTGGGATAATGAAAAGAAATATAAAGAATAAAAAAAATTTCTTGACACATTGAAGGAACGAGCAATTCAAACTCTTAGTAAACGTCTATGACGTTTCAAAATATATCCTCAATTATGATGTAAAAAATGTGAGTGATCTAAGGTGATCTAGAGACAAAAATGGTCAAGTATCAAAGAAACATGAAAATAAACAAATTGCGATGGAACATAAGGTCGTGAGTGACACATAATTACTGTCAGCACGACGTTAAATTGCCAATCGTCAATAGCCGTAAAATTCGAGTAAAATAAATAAATTGTGAGTGTGACAATTTTAAAATGTGATCAATGCAGAACTAAGCAATATTACAACTAAATAAACTAGAGGTGGAGGCCTCCGTACGGCATCTCCAATGAAAGTGAGTATAGAAGATGATTATTTCTTCCTCCGTGTCATGGTACGTGGTACTCAGCTCTTTTGCACTACTTCATTTTTCATCATCAGTTTTCAAATTTTGCACTTTTTCATTAGCTAACTCTAATTGAGTTGAAAATTTGTTCCTTTTTTTTCATCACTTCTTTAAGCAGTACCCCACACTCGGTTGACTCATTCTATCCAGGCTGGTAAAAACCGATTAGTCAGTGTGCGTGGCGTTGCATGAACCATTATGTTTCGTACCGGATTGACTCGGTAAGGCATGTGCCAAGCCGGTGAATTCACGTACCCATTAGCGTAGTTCCAACGGTTGTAATCACCACCTGTCAAAAGTTGACGCCAGTATTCATAAGAATGGCCACGACTAAACAGCTTCACCGAAATCTTTTTCTCTCATTTATCACAGAAAATTAAATCATTGATATGGCAACAAAATTTCAATTTGGAAGTTATAAAACAATCAATTAATACGTTTTAATGATACCTTGCTCCCTAATTTTAATTACGAATTCATTCAATAACCTATGTATGTACGTTTCTGTATATATATAATATAATAAATATTTTTTTTCGGTTTTTTCTTGTATATTATATATATACGTATTTTGAGGGAGGTGTTCTTATTAATTAATATACCGTTTAATTGTATTGAATACAGTATTTCAGTCATTTTCTAATTACGGGAACAGCCGAATTTTTTTTTCTCGTTTGCTTTACATTGAAATTTTATATTGAAATTATTTTCTCATCTCTCGCACACTTTCACGAAGTCATTCGCGTTGGGGTTTCATTCGAGTTTTAGTGATTGAGGTGCAACTAATTGAGTTCAATTACGTTTTGAAGGAAGACAATTTTAAAAATCGGGTACGACGAACTTTCGCGAAAGCTGCGAGAATTCTTTTTTTAGTTTGAGATCATTTTCCATGGGGTGGTTTTTGTGAATGAGTGATGAAAATGACTAAAAAAAAAAAGAAAAATTAATTGAATGTGCAATGATGAGTGCTATGATGATGGGTCGAGACGATGCAACAGATGCAATGATATTTTGTTTTCAATTTACAGGTCAAACTGGTAGAATGGGTGGCGGGGTGGGTGATGATACTTATCTAAGTGGAGCGACACGAACCACTGGAAGAGGACAAAGGGACTCTGCTTATATCTCATCAATGTATCCCTTAAGGACTAGAGAATCACATGCCTTAACTAAACAGTGAAAACTGAAAATCTCCATATCTCAAGAATACCACAATATTTCTTATTTTTTGTCTCTTGCAAAACAAAAAATTTAATAATACGACCCTAAAAAG